TTATGAAAAAGCAAGTAGAATGGAATTCTAAAGGAAAGGCTGATGTCCTCACCTTAATTTATACCATGAAGTTTGATCAGCTTTAAGTTTAAAAGCTCGGGGGGGGGGGGGGGGGGGGCGGACACACAAATGCAATGCCTGGTTTAAGTCATACAATTTACCATTATTTATATAATTTGACATCTAGTTAGAAAGTGAAGCACATTGATAAATCTAACACATACTCTAGTAGTATACATAGACACTATACTTACTTCATTGCCAGAATATTAACATAGATTAAGCTCCATAAAATATGTTTTGTATTTGTATATTCCTTTCCCTCCATTGACTGAGATTAAACCCAATACTGAAAACCAAAGACATTCAATACTCCTTTAAGTACTCATCCTGCAGCCGTTACATGCACACAGAGCCAGCCTTTCAGGCCTATGGCTGCAGGTCATAACTGCTTTTGGGCCTAAAATGGCAATGCTAATTTTCTCAAAAAAAATAAAAAAGTCAGTTTCTAGCCCCTTCCCATACAAGGACTGCCCTGAAAATGTAAAATGACTGAAAGAGCTGAAAGTTTGTCAGTGCAACTTTTCCTAAGGTTTGCGAGTTATTCATGGAATTCACTGGCAGGTTTTGGGGCCTGAAAAAACTCTCAACCACAGATCACTCAATTCTGAGAGGACACTGGAACAATTCATAGATGTAAGAGGCTGCTACAGCAAGCTCTGTCATAGCAAGATTCTGACATCTGAGCAGGTTCTTCTGTTTAGTTGCAAAATAGTGCCTGGGGTGAAAAGACAGGAAAGCTCAGCAACCCAAGTGATGGCCTTGTGCAGTGGACCAACCATACAACTCTGAGACGAAAGTACTACTGCATTCTAAAATCCTAGTTCTGACACCACCTGCCTCTGTGGCCTCAATCAAGTCATTTACATGTTCTCCCTTAAGGTCTGATGATCCTTGAATAAATGGACGTAAAATCCGTCCTAATGGAATGGTTGAGGATTCCCCTGGTGTGGGGGATCTTCAGAGAGCATAAAGCAAGCGTATTTTGTTTGAGCAGCCAAGACATTTGGAAAACTTGCTATTTTAAAAATATTGCAATAGAAGGGATATGTATACACGTGCTTGGGTTTTAGCTAGGTTTTTATGGAGAATTCTCTGTGACAGATGCTTACATAGGATTCTGAGTGAAGGCTTTAAGTCCAACAAGAATGCTTGCTGTTCATGAAAATAATTACTCAAGTAGTATGTGCTATACAGTATGTGAATTAACTCACTCAAGGTCAACTCATAAAACATTTTTTTTCTCATGGCATTTTTGTAGGAATTAAGTTTCTTTGATAGCCAAGACCTTTTGATTCCAGAGAATTCTAGTATTATCTAGTATTATATCATATTTCCCAAGATACACTAAGTGCACATTTCATTAATATTTTCATTCTAGACACTAGATTTGGTCATCTCCCTGCTAGATTAAGTCATAAACATTAGGGATGAAATCTTGACTCCATTGAAGTCAATGGGAGTGTTGCTATTGATTTAAAGGGGGCCATGCGTTCACTCTAGGAATTTAAATGTAAACCCTACTGTACCTATCTGAATAATTTGATTCTTGGAACCAGAATTTGTGTAAGCCCCAGAGCTAGACTTAGAGGGATGGAACTCTCTGTTTCCCGCTGTAACCTAGCCCTGGTTGCCGCCATCAACATCTGTCAGAGGGGCTACATGTATAAATGTCATTGACTTCATTGGGTAAGTTCAGCTGAGTTATTCAGATCTTTACTGTCATAACTGAGATAAGATTTAGGTCTCAATATCTGTAATGCTATTTGTATCATAAGATTGTATGATTGTCACTCTGTGTGTCAACTCTGAAGCCTAGAATGTCTATTGAGTCAGAGTGAAGCTGCAAGCATGGTTTAGAGATCTTTTTGTTCAAAATAACACCGAGTTCAGTCATGACTGGGCTCTGTGGTCTGTTACTGTCCAGTTTTTAAGTTCTCAGCCCTTTTGGCTTCACAAATTACACCCGTGCAGTGTACAGCTTCAGTAAGCATGCATCTATCATGCCGAGTCCTAGACTATTGTGACATCAAAGGTAACTCAACCAACCACCACCCTTACTCTCAGGGCCGGCTCCAGGGTTTTGGCTGCCCCAAGCAGCCAAAAAAAAAAAAAGACGTGATCGCGATCGCGATCTGCAGCGGCAATTCGGCAGGAGGTCCTTCGCTCCGAAGCGGAGTGAGGGACCGTCCGCCGAATTGCCGCCGAATACCTGGATTTGCCGCCCCTCTCCGGAGCGGCCGCCCCAAGCACCTGCTTGACAAGCTGGTGCCTGGAGCTGGCCCTGCTTACTCTACAACTAATTTGCAGGCAACAATTGCATTGGTTGTATGAAGGAGACTGCACAGATGGGGGATTACTTGGCCCAACTGCCACACCTGTGCGACAGCATGGGCTTTCAACTTCTGGATAATAATAATAATAGCAATAAGCTTCCTGATCTCAACTCACAAAACTGGCTAGGTGTTGCTACTCTATAAAAGGCAAACTGGAATGAATGTTGTGGTTTCCTATTCCTAGCAGTTAATATTTTGTACACTACTATTAAAGAACCCAAAATATTTATGAGCAGTTAGGTGAAGATAAAATTACGACTCTTTGAAATAATATTCTTAAAAAGTAAGTTACAAAGTTAATACAACCATTATACTTTATACCAACACAGAAAATGTATGAAGTTAAGTGATATAAATATTAGCTTGATTCTTCTCTTACACTAGTTTTATATTTGTGTATTATATTGGTTTCTGTGGAGTGCCTCCTGTTTACACCAATGTAAGTGAGAGGATCATCAGACCCTCTTTCTACCAAAGACAAAACATCTGTTAGTTTTGGTGGGGATAGAAATAACAATCTGTGGAAAGAAAAATGGTAATTTTTTATGCTGGACAATAATTAGCACTATGATCCAAAAGTTGGATATGCAACTTAATAACAGGAATTCTGGCCTAAGTATTCAAAAGTGCCTGTGTGACTTGTGCGTGTGGAACATCTGATGCTCATGTGTAAATCTTGTGCAATGTATCTAACTGTCTCTCTAGAGATTTTTGCAACCATTAGTATCCTAACAACTTTTGCACATGCATCCAGTATGGATGAAGTGTCTGTTGGGTGCATGAAAAAATATTCACACAATTTTGAAAATGTAGGTCTGTATATATAATTCTTCATACAGCCAGTTAAATATTTAATTAAAAATACTTGTCTATTTTGAGGTCTTTCCTCCAAGAGCCCTGCAGGTTCCCTTTTTCTTCCTTCATAAACTCCTTCATAAACTCTATTCTCAAGACTCCACATTATGGTCATCATACTTCTGACGGAGGGCTGCATCCTTTAAAATATCAAAACTGCTCCTTAATTTTCCATAAATGTTGCTCCTGAACAACACAAATCACTCCTCTTCCTGAGATAAGCGCCGCCCGGGGCCCGCACCCACTCACACACCCCAACCCCCTGTCCCAGGCCTGAGCCCCCTCCCACACCCAAAATCCCTCCCAGAGCCCACACCCCATACCTTCTCCCACACCCCAACCCCCTGCCCTAGCCCTGAGCCCCCTCCCACACTCTGAGCCCCTCGGCCCCAGCCCAGAGCCCCCTCCTGCACTCCAAACCCCTCATCTCCAGCCCTGAGCTCACACCCCCAGCTGGAGCCCTCACCCCTCTGTACCTCAACCCCCTGCCCCAGCCCAGATCCCCCTCTTGTACCCCATCCCCCTCAGCCCCAGCCCTGAGCCCACACCCCCATCTGGAGCCCTCACCTCTCCCACACCCCAACCCCCAGCCCCAGCCCGGAGCCCCCTCCCACACTCCAAAACCATTGGCCCCATCCCCCAGCATGGAGCCCCCTTCTGAACCCCTAACCCTTCATCCCCAGCCCCATTCAGGAGCCTGCACTCCCAGCCAGAGCCCTCACCCTCTCCTGCACCCCAACCCCCTACCCCAGCCCAGTGAAAATGAGCGAGTGAGCAAGGGTGGGGGAGAGCGAGCGATGGAGGGAGGGGGGATGGAGTGAGCATGGGGCAGGTCCTTTGAGAAGGGGCAGGGCAGGGATGGAGCCTCGGGAAAGGGATGGGGCAGGGGTGTTCAGTTTTCTGCAATCAGAAAGTTGGCAAACGTAAGCACTACTGAGACTCCCAGTCCAGTTTTGCTATTCTGATTTTTCATCTGCTTTTTACATCAGCATATTCAAACCATTCTAGTCTGTAATGGGGAAGAAATGTTATTTTTGTAACATTAGATAAATAGAGTCATTTTTGCATGTGCCTAACAAACAGACAAATTGACTTCCTGATACACAGGTAGGATAAGCATTTCTGCTACAGGAACATAAAATTTGTGTGTATGTCTTCTCTGAAGCACAGGCCATACCAACCACTAACCTTCACCTCCTCGCCTCTCAGCTAGATAGATTCACTTATTTAACAAACAGGGGTCATATTCTTCCCTTTCTTTCATCTACGCAACCACACTGATATCACTCAGCTTTCACAAGCGTAACTGAAGGAAGAATTTGGTCCTAAATGTTTTACTGTTTCAGCCACCTTCATTAAAAATGTAGCCTTTTGATAGCTTTGTGATTTCATCCAATCATTTGACCAAGAAAATCTTATGTGACAACACAACCCAGATACTTGAAAGAGTTAATTGAAAGTTTTCAACAGGCACGGTTGTCGCTGTCAAAAATGAGTAGCATATCCAAATGAATTTATTAACTCTAATGTTCTTCTCCATGTTACCCTTACTGCAATTTGTCATTAAACATATTTCAAAATAAAAAACAAAGCAAAAAAAAAACAAAACCCACCATGTGAAACTGAAAACCACATGGGAACAGCTATAGATCGCATGATTCAATCAAGTATATTAAATAAGATAAAATACAATGGAATAAACAATGACCCATATTGAATATTGAAATAGTAAAAAAAAATAAGTCTTACCTTTTTCACTAACACTTTCACTTTCAATCTCTACATCATCACAGCTCGTATATTCTGGAGTAGAAGCCAATTCTTCTTCTGAGCTGCTCAATGAAACCTGACGCATTTTACCTCCCTTTTTTGTTTTGTGTGGCTTTGGTGGTGGAGGCCTGACTGACTCAGATTGATCTGAGCTGAGTGAATCATTCCTTAACATGGTTTCCATTTTTTCACGTTTAGTTTTCCGTACAGCAGAACTGGGATCCAAATGGTGCTGTTTCCTTAATGAATCAGTGCGCCTCATGTCTGGCCTATCGAGAGGAATTGGACTCCTCCTAGGTGTTGGAGGGCTATGATTTGTTGTCCTCTGACGATTGGGACTTGGTCCCTGAGCCTCTCGAGTTCTTTCCACAGAATATGAACGTTGGTTTTCCATGGCAGCTCTGCGCTCAGATATAGATCTTTGCCTTGATGGTCGTTCCATCCTCAGCATAGATATCCGGGACTCCTCCAGTTCAGTGTTTGCCAACGAGACATCACTGTGTCTTCGTTCATGGCGTGCTCGGGATACTTCAGCATGGATACGCATTTGTTCCTCATATGGTTGTGGTTTGACAGGATAACGAGCCAAATTAGGATCACTTCTGTATCGTGCCTGGTACTCCTCTTCTCGCCTCTGCCTCTCATATTCCTCTCTGTTCTGCACCTCATCTTCCTCTACAGAATACTCTTTGGAATGTCTGCGACTTCTTCTGTTAGAATCTCTGTAGTCACCAAGTTCAGGTTCTTCGTACAGCTGAGACCCACGCTGTGATCGCCTATCTGTATAATCTGATGGTGACCTTGGCATTGCACTGTCTGATGTAGCATACTGTGAATATTCGTCTCTCTCGTCCCTTTGGTCGTATCTTCTGTTCTGATCTCTTGATACTGATGGGCTTCTTTTCCTAAGTAAACAAAGACAAACAACAGGTAAGAAAATTCTGTGGATACTTCCAATAGCATAAATATATCTGTTACTTTTAATGGATTAAGAAGGTCCTGTGGTCTGCAGATTCAAACACAATCATTCCACTGACTTCTTTTCTGATTGCAAGTATGCTTGAACCTCGTTTATTTATTTTTATTTTTTTGAAGAAACTTAATGAGAGTATGCCATGTTGTGTATTTATTGATGGTTCATAATTCACTGAAGCCAAAAACGTTACAAAGAAAAATGTTAATGTCATAATAATTAAACATTTTAAAAATAGAATGTAAGTACTTACACCACTTCTACAGCATGACAACCATCTTACGAGCTTCTATATTTCCTGGTGTAAATTTCAAGCCAATGAGATTTCACACCTGCCTCAGTAATTTGTTCTAGTGTTCAACTACTCTTACAGTTAGGAAGTTTCTTCTAATAGTTTACCTAAATCTCCCTTTCTGAAATTTAAGCTCATTACTTCTTGTTCTGTCCTCAGGGGTAAAGAAGAACAATTTATCACCCTCCTCTGTATAGCAACCTTTTACGTACCTGAAGACTGTTTTGTCCCCACTCAGTCTTCTCTTCTCCAGTCTAAAGAAATTCATTTTTTTCCAATCTTTCCTTGTAGGCCATGTTTTCTAGATCTTTAATCATTTTTGTTGCTCTCTTCTGGAGTTTCTCCAATTTATCCACAACTTTACTGAAGAGAGGTACCCATAACTGGACACAATACTCCAGCTGAGGCCTTATTAATGCTGAGTAGCATGGAAGAATTACTTATGCCACTCCTGCTAATACATCCCAGAATTATGTTTGCTTTTTTTGCAAGAGTATTATGTTGTTGACCCATACTTAGTTTGTGATCCACTCTAATCCCCACATCCTTTTCTGCAATAGTCCTTCCTACACAGTTATTTCCTGTTTCATAATTATTCCTTTCCTACTACAGTATTTTTTATTTTTCCTTATTGAACTTCATCCTATTTATTTCAGACCATTTCTCCAGTATGTCAGGATCATTTTGAATTTTAATTCTGTCTTTCAAAGCGCTTGCAATCCCTCCTAGCTTGATATAGTCTGAAAACTTTACAAGTATACTCTCTAGGCCATTATCCAAATCATTTATGAAGATATTGAATAGAATCAGACCCAGAACTGATCCCTGTGGGACCCACTCAATATGCGCTTCCAGCTTGATTGTGATCAATTGATAACTACTCTCTGAGTGTTGTTTTCCAGCCAGTTGTGCACCCACTTTATAGTAGGTTCATCTAGGCTATATTTATCTAGTTTATGAGAAGGTTATGAGAGGCAGTATCAAAAGCCTTACTAAAGTCAAGATATACCATATCTACCACTTCTCCCCTATCCACAAGGCTTGTTACACTGTCAAAGAAGGATATTAGGTTGGCTTGACATGATTTGTTCTTGACAAATCCATGTTGACTCTTACTTATTACCTTATTTTCTTCTAGGTTCTTACAAACTGATTGTTTGATTATTTGCTCCATTATCTTTCCGGGTACTGAAATTAAGCTGACTGGTCCATAATTCCCTTGGTTGTCCTTATTCCACCTTTTAAAGATAGGTACTATATTTGCCCTTTTCCAGTCCTCAGTTATGTCTCCCATCCTCCATGAGTTCTCAAAGATACCTGCTAATGCTTAGGGATCTCTTCAGCAAGTTCCTTAAGTATTCTGGGATGTATTTCATCAAGCCCTGCCAACTTGAAGACATTTAACTTGTCTTAGAAATTCTTAACTTGTTCCTTCCCTATTTTAGCTTCAGATCCTACCCCGTTTACACTGATGTTCTCTATGTTAGTCATCCGATCAATGCTAATTTTTTAGGTGAAAATGAAACAAAAAAGGCATTTAAAACTTCGGTCATCACGGTGTTTTCTGTTACTGTCTTTCCGTCCTCATTTAGTAATGGGCCTACCCTGTCCCTGGTCTTCCTCTTGCTTCCGATGTATTTGTAAAATGCTGTCTTGTTATCCTTTATATCCCTAACTAGTTTAATCTCATTTTGTGCTTTGGCCTTTTAAATTTTATCCCTACATGCATGGTGTTATTTTTTTATATTCGTCCTTTGTAATTTGAACTAGTTTCCATTTCTTGTATGATTTTTTTCTGAGTTTCAGGTCATTGAGGATCTCTTGGTTAAGCCAGGGTGGCCTCTTACCATACTTCCTATCTTTCCTATTCATAGGCATAGTTTGCTCTCGTGCCCTTAATAATGTCGCTCTAAAAAAATTGTCAACTCTCCTGAACTCTTTTTTTCCCTTAGACTTGCTTCCCAGAGGATCTTTCCTACCAAGTCTTTGAATTTGCTAAAGCCTGCGTTCTTGAAGTCCATTGTCTTTACTTAGCTGTTTTCCCTCCTACCATTCATAAACTTTGACCCCTTCCTGGTCTCACAGTGAACCCACACAGGTGCCTAGCCCTGCGACTTCACCTCTCTCAGGGTGGAATCTCACCTTATCTCTCTAATATCCTGGGACCAATACAGCTACAACACCACCTTATATATCTGTTGTTATTTTTAGATTACAAGCTAATTCCCACTGATCATTATGAGCTTCCATCTAATCCATTCTTTGCCATTAACTACTTTTAAGGTGTCTTATAAAAACCCTTCATTTTGCTCCCCCAACTAGATGAACTAAGGGAAATCATACTGCTGTGTTTACAGAAGTACACTGGCACATTCAAAGCTAATATGGCCTTGAGAATGTGTCAATAATTCTGATGTGCAACATCCAACTATCAGGTCAAAAAGGCAATCTTTGTGGTAATTTTTCTGAAAATTAACACATTTTTTGAAAAGGTCACCATTTGATTGTAAAGTGAGAACAGGCAGCTTGATTTCTGCTCCTTTTAATTAATAAAAATATATATAGTATTTTTCAACTTCCAAGTACTTCATAAATATTAAATTTAAACATATATGTGAGGCACATTACATAAATATTATCCCAATTTTTCAGATGTGAAAGCTGAAACAGATTAAAGATGAACTGTAAAGAAAAAAATCCTAACAACCTTTACATATGTTTGCTATTAATTCACACTAACATGTTTTTTAAAGCTTTCCTTTCCCCCCCCCCGACCCCCCAGATCTATGACATTTAGCTGTGTGTCTCATCCTTATCTTCAAATCGGGGGAAATCTTGTTTACAGTGTGGTAGTGACATCACTAGTACCATAGAAATTCAAATAGCTCAGCTGTAATCTGACCTCCTTCTGCTCAAACAGTCAATTTACTTGATTCCCTTCCCCACACCATGCTGGAAAAGTTGGAGGATAAGTACTTAAAGCAAAGTAGAGAAGGAATAATCCCCCCCCCTCCCCCCGGCCTTCTTTGATGGCAATGATTTCAGTGGGTGGAGCCTAAGCCTGATGAGACTCTCATTCACTTGGACTTTTTGCTGAAAGGAAAATCCACAGTTGTATTTTGTTTTTAAATCAGTTCAAGAGTTTTGTGAAGAAACAAAACTCTTTGTTTTGTTTGGAGGTAAGTTTCCATTAAATTTAAAAAAGTGACTACACTCAAAAATCCCATGCAATTCACCAATGCTGCAGTATAAAGGGTATCTAGATCACATTCAGAAATTGTTCTCAGCACTCCCTAGCTCCTAGTTCTGTGTTCAGACCACTATCATACAGCTCAATTAATTGGTTATCATCTTATCTTGTACTACATACACTACAGGAAGTGTTGAAAAAGTTATGCTTGTACCCCATGTAAAAATAACAGTGTGGGCACTACATTTATCTACACAGGCTTACAGTTTTCACACAGGTGAGATGGTATTGCATAGCTAAACATAAAAAGAAATACTTGGTTTAGCCTGGACCATAGTCATCTATTTACAGATACAATAATTAGTTGCCTAGTTGCATAGTCTAGTTATGATTTACCAAAAAGTTTGCTCTTCATTTCCTACAAACCAAATTCCTGAGAAAAAATTTTTAATAATCAATTTAAAAATTTTGCATCATACATAATGTAACAGAATTAGAAAGATGATGGATTTACCCTGTTAGGGGTTTTCTGTGTATGTTTATTGTTGTGAAAAAGATTAATTTTTCTGGATTTTCAAAGATATAAATATTTCAGTGTTATAGATCTGACAAATTATCCTTAGTATCTATAAAGAATTAAAAGGAATTTCTTGGGAAAGATTATTTCTGTTCCCAGCATTAGAAAAACTAGGTTCACTTTTTAATCGCAGGTGCCATTGTTTTGGTAAAGAGAAAAAGCCATTTTAACACTGTCATAAATGAGCGTGCAACAAGGGGAGGACATTTATAATAATGAACACTGACGAATATGCAATATGTACAAAAAACCATTTACTGAAATGTTTTCAAAATATATTTTCCATACACAAATGAGTTACTTTGAAGTGATATGAAAACTGTACTTGCTCAGTACTATTTTAACATCAGCATTGCCAACCTCAAGAGATCAAAAATTACATCAGCTCCTCAAAAACTGTAAGATTTTTTTAAAATTGTGGTTTTAGTTGGTCTTTTTTACTTTTTAACTCCCCTCTATTCCTCTACCAACATGTGTGATAATTTTAGGTTGAAAAGTCAGCCTTTAATGCACACAAAAATGTACACCTCTCCTTGGCTGCCCAAATGGTGATGTCATTTACCTTATCCTCATCCCTGAGACAGGAAATGGATGACAGTTTCCCTATTACTGTTTTGACCCAGCAGCAATGTTCTCTGCTTCCTGCTGTCCAAGGACTTCTCTAGCTGGGACCAAGGAATACCACTTCTCTGGTCACCCCTTCTCATGCCTTCTACTGCCTCTCTGTGTTATAAGGCCATACATGAAGGCAGGGCTCAGTGGCAGAGCAGGTCTGTGTCCTTAGTCACGAGGCTCATACAGATTTCTGGCCTTGTGCTCAGCCCTGGAAACTGTGGGATTGCAAAAGTTTCTCCTACAGGCAATAAAATCCCA